AGCCTGAGGTTTTCCTTGTATAAATCAATGCATGAATGTTTTAATTACCTCCCCAAGCTGCATTTGGATGACTTACTCTTACAAGCACCAAAGACGAAAGGTTCAGTGGGAGTAGCTAATGGGGCAGCAGGAGAAACCAGCTGCCTCCAACATTTTAAACACTACATCATCTAACTTGCTAACAAGTCTAAGCATTGCAGTGTTTGAAATGCTGTTGGCTGTGAGCTGGATTGAGCACAGCTCCCAGTATTGCTCACTGCTGTGCATAAAAGATGATGTTATTAACAAAAGGCTTAAAAAAATTCTCTAGAAAGGACAAACCATAAGATATTCTAAGTAATTCTAAGTGCCCTAAGTAACTGCTGACATTGAGTGACCTCTAATCAGGAGTCAATTATGATGATGCAGTTAGGAGTTGAAAATACACATAACTGCAAAGGGAAGAGCACTTTAAATTTGTAGGATTTGCCTTTTGTCAGCTGCTGGGGAAGGAGCCTTGATCTCTGCAATGAAAACCCACTGAAGAACCAGAGTGTGCTGGGGAGTACCAGGGGCTGCTCAGGCAGTGACTGTGAGCTGGGACTCTCCTCTGGCCTGAAGGTGCTGCGTTTTCTCTTTAAAATCACAATGAACTTCAGCTTTCTGAAGTAAAAGGCTGGAATTCTGTCTGAAAAGCTGAACACCTAAAGATGAAGAGCACCAAAATTCTAATTGCAGGTGGGGTTTCTTCCTAACTTTTCCATCCGTCTCTGGCTGTGTCATTTGTTTGAAAGCTCTGCCTGGGATACCACATGAATCATAACAGTTCTGCTTCAGCCACAAACCTCATGAAATTTAACATTTTTTTTCATTTAGCATTTATTTTCCTAAATCTCAGCTTCCCTGCAAGCCAGGGATTCATGACTCTTAGAATTGGAGGTTTATTTTCCTGCCAGAGCGGGAAAAGCCTTTGGTCCCTCAGGGAGAGTGGGAGAAGCCTTTGGTCCCTCAGGGAGGGTGGGAAAAGCCTTTGGTCCCTCAGGGAGAGTGGGAGAAGCCTTTGGTCCCTCAGGGAGGGTGGGAAAAGCCTTTGGTCCCTCAGGGAGAGTGGGAGAAGCCTTTGGTCCCTCAGGGAGGGTGGGAAAAGCCTTTGGTCCCTCAGGGAGAGTGGGAGAAGCCTTTGGTCCCTCAGGGAGAGTGGGAGAAGCCTTTGGTCCCTCAGGGAGAGTGGGAGAAGCCTTTGGTCCCTTCCCTCAGGTGGGAAAAGCCTCAGTTGTTCAAGAAAGGGGAGAAAAGTGTCCGTTCAGTCAGGAAAGGCGGGAAAAGCCCTCAGACAATCAGGGAGGGTGTGAGAAGCCTTTGGTCCCTCAGGGAAAGTGGGAGAAGCCTTTGGTCCATCAGGGAGAGTGGAAAAAGCTTTTGGTCCCTCAGGAAGGGTGAGAGAACCCTCAGTTGCTCAAGAAATGGGAGCAGTTGTTCAAGAAAGGGGAGAAAAGTGTCCGTTCAGTCAGGAAAGGCGGGAAAAGCCCTCAGACAATCAGGGAGGGTGTGAGAAGCCTTTGGTCCCTCAGGGAAAGTGGGAGAAGCCTTTGGTCCATCAGGGAGAGTGGAAAAAGCTTTTGGTCCCTCAGGAAGGGTGAGAGAACCCTCAGTTGCTCAAGAAATGGGAGAAAAGAGTCTGTTCAGTCAGGAAGGGCAGGAAAAGGCCTCAGTCAGTCAGGAAGGGTGGGAGAATCCCCTCAGTTGGTCAGGAAGAGGGGGAAAAGCCCTTGGTCCATCAGGAAGGGCGGGAAAATGTCTCAGTTGGTCAGGAGGAATAGGGAAAGGCCTTGTGTGGGCAGGAAGGGGGAGAAAAACCCTCAATGGGTCAGGAAGGGCGGGAAAAGTCCTCAGGCATTCAGGAAAAGTAGGAGAAGTCCTCAGTCAGTCAGGACAAGCACAGCTCCTGCCGATTAGAAGGGGAGGGAGAAGCCCCTGGTTGGTCAGTCAGGAAGTGCAGGAAAATCTTGACTTTGGTTTCTACAGAAACTTTCTGCCTTTCCTCCCTGGCCCCGTGGCTTGAGCTCAGGGCATGAGTTTTATACCCTGCATGCAGAATAGCCATCTCTAATTTCTGTGGTAATCTTTCTTGTCTCTTTTTAAACATGCTTCATCCCTTCCAGAGATGCTGGATTGATCAGCCTTCATGGAGCAGCGTGGCGTGTGCTCCACTGAAGTGCCAGCTGGGAACAAGGCCAGGGAAACACATCTGTCTGGTCATGAGAGCCACGTCCCCAGGTGAAAAAAAGTGAAAAATAGCACCTGTACTCTCTCTCTGTGGCAATACTCGAGTAGGCAGAGCATCATTACACCTCATGGGCTTGTGCTAAAGCAAAAAACATACTCCCCTGAAAAAACAAACTCCAAAAGATCTGTGGCTACAGGCAGAAACACAGAAAGCCATGATCAAACAAGCATATTGAGTTACACCAACAAAAAAACCCTCATCAATTTTTAAAGAATCTTTCTGCACACAGTGTATCAGCCTCAGGGGCTAGGACAGCCTGGGAGCATCAAAAAGTTATTTCAAGGAGAAAAGGATATTATTACTATTACTGGGAGCATCAAAAAGGTGTTTTAGGAGAAAAGGGTAGTAGTAATAGTACTAGTATTGGTAGTAGTATTAGTAGTATCATCATTAGTAGTAGTAGTCTTATTGCTATTACTGTTATTATTATTATTATCCCCATTAACAAAATATTAAATGTATTTTAAAAGGATATTATTATAATAATCATTAATATTATTATCATTACATTGTTATAATGAGCTGAAGAGTTCTTGCTCTCCCTGGCAGAGTATGGGGATTGCATGGCTTCAGCAACACACAGCTCTAGGTTTTGGACTGTGTTGGTTTCTTACACTTTATTACATTTTATTTGTAACCTTCTCACATATATTTATATTGTTTTCTTGCTAAAGGGGCTGTAACATTAATCTTTTATGCTGTTCCTGTTGAAGATCATTTCTTGTGCTAGACAGAAACAAGAATCCACTCATGCTGCAACCTGTGGGAAGGGATCAGGCAAACCCTGTGAGCTGTGCAGTGCCTTCTCCTCTGCTCAGATGTCACTGTTAACTAAACCACAGGGAATTTGAAGCAGGCATACTTGGCCAGTGTCCTGTGTTTGCTTATTAAAATTCAGATAATCTCTGCAAAGAGAGACAGAATGGCAGCAAGGGTACACAGAGGATTGCTCACCTCCTCCTCCTATTCTGTGTTTTACATATTGCATTTCCAACCCCTCTTGGCTCACAAATTGGGATTGGAACACAAACCTGGATTTGCAAATTCTGCAGCAAACTTTGAGGTACATCTGGAATATTAAGACACTTACAGTGAACAGAACCAGATGAATTAAGTAAGATATTTAGGAGTATCAAAGCAATGACATGGGTTGGATTTCCTATCTACCAATCTGTCCTTTCATCTATCTGCCCATACAGATTTTTATTGGCTTCAACACTAATTTTTTGTTATGTTAGAGCTCTGCATCTTAGTCAGCTTTGCTTACCTCCAGCCATTTCCTCTGGGCTTAACAGAACTTCTGGTTTGGATATGACAGGGAGATGCAGGTGTTAATTGAGTATCTGTTTAATAAACCTTTAATCTGAGGGAAGTGACTAAAAATCTGAAATTTAGGGAATCTTGGAATTCATTATGAAGCAAAAAATGAATTTAGGTATTGAATTTATGTATTGGCTGCATGAGTAGTCCTTCTTGTATGATCAGCACTGCAAATGCCTCACTGGTTTACCCTTGGAAAATCATTAGTCTCTCTGGGTCCAGGTTTATTCATCTGAAAAACAGGAAGAATCTTACATTGTGTTTGTTGAACAGTTTAATATGTGTGGATAAAAATGTTAGTAATAATAGCATTGATTTTTTTTAAATACAGACACCATTGTGAATTGCAGTTTAAAATAAAAGGTTAATACTCTCCGGAAATTGCTTTTAAACAAACCAAAGATACTTTAGTTCCAGCAGAATGGGGAGTGTGGGAAGCTGAGTTGTAAAATGGAAGAAACACACTCAGCTAACAGAAAAGAGCTTTAATGACAGTTCATTGCTGTTTAAGCAGACTCATAGCTCTGTTTTAAAATCATTCTTGCTGTTTTTTGGAGAGATAATTCATTTTGTGTGGCTTGTGCTGGTATTGACTCATCTTTTCTCTGTATATTAATGACAAAATTGCACTTTGCTGATAACACTTTGAGCTAAAATAAGCTTTGGATATTCTTCTAATTCCTACCTAGACTTATGACAGTGTATAGCACACTTGTAATTTTAAGGACAGCTGAAATGCTGGAGTCAGATTGCTTATGAAAATAAAAAGCATCTGTCATAACACTCAAACTAGCCTAGAATTTGCTGCAAGGTTACTCTGTCTTTTTAGGTGAAAGATGTAGATTTTGTTCTTTTCCAGTGCCTCTGTCCCGACTGAGCCTTCATATAATTAAAGCCCTTAACAGTTTGTTCAGGGCAGCAGATCAAAAGGTTAATGTGCAATGGTACAACAGGAAGTATTTGCACTCTTGAACATTTTTTAAATTTACAGCATTTAAAAACAACTTTGCCAAAATCATAGCCAAAGCCAATATTACATCATTTATAGTAAGGCATTAATCATTAGTCACAAACCAGCCAGTTGGGCTGAAAGTTCAGCTGTGAAAAATCTGATGTCTCAGATAGAAATACACTTGAAATTGTGCTCTCAGTCATGCATGGAAAGTCACAGGTTTGAGAGAAACTGAGCAAAACAAAATTGAAAGCTACATGTTCCTCCACATTTCTGAAACACAGAGGTGCTTGAAGCAGTTTTGGCTTACACAAATTTTGTAGGAGTGTTGAGAGTAGGAGAAAGTTGATCAAAACTCAAGTAAGAACTAGATTTTACCCTATGATCTGCCTAATTATTTCACCACTTTAAAATGATAGTTAACATGATTCAATAATTAACTCTGTGATTAATTGTCTTGCTTTCAGTTCTGAAGTTCTTGCAGCAATAGAAAATGTCATTCAAGGTGTTATTCAAAGCTTGGCAGAAGGGAAAGCACCTGTTCTCACCCTGGCTAACCGCGCAGACTGGAGGAACATAGAGTGAGTAGGATGTGTTTAAAGTCCTGCCTTCTGTAATATGCATGCCATGAATGTGAATTTGATTGTACAACTTCCAGAAAAGTTAGTCCTACATAGTTCTATAAGTATGAGAATCAATAAATAATTTGGCTTCTTAAAAAGTAATGGACAAATAAAAAGTAAATGCTCAGTAACCACATAGTAACCACCATGTATTAAATAATAGCAGGCCACAGCATGAAGGGGAATGGAAAGCTACTGTAATGGGGGCTGGAAGGGAAAGGGAGATGCTATAATCACTCGTTTTCTGGGAGCAGTAGAAACCAGAAATGATAAGTTGTGTTAGACTGAAAAAAAACACGTTTTAGGCTGGAAAAAATTACTAGCAAGTTCATCCTCCAAACGCTTTGTGTGCTTCCTCTTTCATTTTCCTCTGCTTTTCCCTGTTTCTTAAAATGCTAGTGATAAACTTACCTTTGTATTCTTCAGAGAAGATGCATCTCACCTCTTCCTCTTGTGTTCTAAGTTCATCACCAGCCAAATAAAGCAAAGAGTTTGCAATATGTTATCTAAATTCCAGCTTTTATGCCAGGTTATAGGTAGGATCTGAGGAAAGCAACCTGTCCTGCTTTGCAGCACATGATGTGTGATGTGCACAAGTTGCTTGGACAACAGTATTTTCCCAAGGAGCTCATTTAAACTGAAAATCCCCCAAACTGAGAGATGAATTGCTATAATTAATTGCTAGAAATAACTGCTATAATACAGAGGAATAAAGGAAGAGACAAATCTGTCTCTGGCCTTGTAACAGCTTTGAATGTCAGTGGGTTAAAGGATGTTCAGGTTGCTCAGATTGCAGAGGTGTTTGTCAGAGGACACATTACCAGCACTGCAGGCTGAGGAAGCACAGAAACTTTCCAGGCACAACACTTTGCTGGAATACTCATGTAATGAGAATAATAAACTTCTGCCAGTCAAGAAATCTGAGGGGCCTGAAGGTAATCAGTTAACTGAAAGGCTTATATGTTCCAGGGAATTTAATGGTTTGTGTCTTGATAGTTTGACAAAAATGTTTCGCTCAGATGTCTGTAAAATTAAAATACTATAACAAAGTTTTGCAATTTTTGGCAGTCTTCAGGGAAATGGCATTCCAGGCTAGAAAAACAAATGTGAGCTGTTATTTGCCATCAGAACACATATGAGGAAAAAGCTTCAAATTCAAACAAGAGCACAGTATGTTAAAAATAAGGCTCATCAATCACGTTAAAAAAAAGCTGAACCATTATTTCTGGTGAGAAATGTAGTCTCAGATCTGCATCTCTGTTGAACAGTGACCTATATCCCACTTCAATGCAGCAGTTCATGAAGATTAAGATAAAAATAAATAGAAATAAAAACAGAATGCCAAAATATGCTATGCATGGCAGGAAATGCAGCCAGTGGGGCACTATTTTTCTTTCTTAGGCAGCCTTTCCTTACCCAACCTGCCCAGCTGGAAAGTGCTGGGCAAGGCATGAGAGAATGATTTCATGTCTAACATGTTCCTTGCAAACATTTGTAGATGCCCAGAGAGGTATTTACCTGAGAGTGATGTCAATCAGTGGCAATGCCAAGCCTCAAGTAGTACAATCAGTTTCCATTTTCCAATTTTACCTTTCCAGGAATTATAAAAACCTAACTAAATTTAAAAAATCCCCAGAGAGGAAAGAAGATTCTGAAGTAAGCTCAGCCCTGGGAGGAACTGGAGTGTTCAGGGTTAACCTGAGAGGAAACCAGCCAAGTTTTGATTACAGTTTTCCTCCTCTTCGGTTACAATGTTGGGAATGGGCAAGGGAAAAGCACAGAAACCTTTTAAGTGTTGCTACACAAGAGCAAGAAAGTTACTACAAAGCCGTCAGGCAGATGCTACACTGCTACTAAGGCTGTTCCTCCTGCCCTGTGCAGCGTGTGAGCTCTGCCACCCAAAGGATGCTTGGAGCAAAGCCCTGGACAAACCACAAACACGAGGCAAAGTCATTGAACCACTAGCATTTCTTCAAAGGACACAGAGAGCTCCGAGATGAAAAAGAATGCTTTAAAGACAGGACTGTCATATCACAAGGCAATAAAATAGTTCTGAGTAAAATAGCGGCACGTCCTTAAGAAAGTAATTGATTTTCTGGGGGGTGAAATGTGCACCTTGAGACATGAAATGGTGGAGCTCATTTAGGCTAAACAACTGGGTGGACTACCTTGCTGTTTTCAAAAGTTAGTAACATCCTAATTGAGTGGTTCTGATAATAATTTAGAGGCACAAATCGGATATTGTAAGCTGAAACAGTAACACTTTTTCATTCATTCTACCTCAGAAAGTCACTGTGTCAGACTTGATTTCTACTCTAATAATGATTCACATTTCCCCCTGTTATTTATTCCTTTATTTTCATGCTAAATAACAATTGATGCTTATATACTAACAGTTCGTAACATGTATAAAATATTTCTCTTGTCTCTACTTTTATCTGGAAACTTAGCTATTTTATGCTTAAATTCAGTTTTGAAGCATCTTCTTGAGAAACTCTTTCCTGCCTTTTTTCCTTTGGCCTCTCCAACTCTGGTGGTTTCTGTGCTGAGTCTGAAAATAGCACTGGAATATCTCACTATGGGAAAGGGTCTGAGTCTGAATTACCTTGAAGAGAACAATTTACATACACTCAGAGTTTACAGTTTTACTGTATCTGTTTGCCCTGGTCAGATTTAAAGATTCTGTAGGTCTGCAGATGATACCACGTTGTACCACGAAACAAATCAGAAGTGATTCCCCTAGCTCAGCACGAAAATTTGGTAAGTTTAAAGAGTCTAAAAGCAGAATTCTTGGGGGGTTTGATTGCATTTGAGTTTAAAGCTTTGTAAAAAAATAATAGTATGCACTGTGATTTAGAAGTGTGTGGCTGATAGAACCTGATACTCTGACCAGCCCTTCAGCTTTTCTCCTCTCTATTAAATTATAGTGAGTGACAGTGAAATTAATACAGTGTTCTCAGAGTTCCTCCCCTCCCTGAATGAATATCAGCTGAAGGCATATTCAGAAGGTCTTAATGTAAAAACATCACCCTTCTTCCAAAAGCTGGCTAGGAAAGGAATCTTGGAACACAGACAATAAGCTCACTTCTTTTTCTAACTCAGTCATTTGATGCTTTGGCCTGGACATCAAGGCACACATTCCCTCACTTAACTCCATCGTATTTCTTCTCATTATGCTACAAATTATTGAGTCAATTGATCAGTACAATCTCTGCTTTCACAGCACATGAGAGTATTTTAAAGTTTTTTTTTTATGAAACCCAAACATGAGTTAATGTCAAGACAAATCATTGTATACGCATTTCTGAAAATGGGTTGACAGAATATTTTGTAAAATGTATTTTTTTTCAGCTCTGATGCTCAAAATATTATCTATGATCTATAAGATGGTGCAGAGTAATACTTATGCAACTAAAAGGTAAAGACTTCACTTTCGTAATTTCAAATAAAATTGTATTTTAAGAATGTAATTGTGAAAAAAACAGCCTACAGGGTGCAAACCTGTAGGATTCCTGTACACAGAATGCTTGAGGTTGGCCTGGTTATCCATGCCCTTTATAAAATTCTCATGAGCTGTTTCAGTATTATAATCACAAATATACTATTTTGTCTTGACAGAGATATATATTACTCAGACACCCTCTTGTTTGGTAGCCAAAGTATTGTGGACAATATAATCAATGAAATTTCTTGCATGCTTAAGATACCTCGGAGAAGTCTACATATAGTAAGTGGCTTCTTTTGAGTGTTCTAATCATCATTTCTAAATCAGAGAGATTGAAGTGAAAGGGGAAATGTCAAAAAAAGGTA